TCAATAGAGGTTTATAGCTATCATCAAAACATCCCCATCATATTTACATGCAAGTGGTTGTAGTTGTACAATGCACCTAAAAGTACAATGCAAACCCAACAATGACCAAGTGTTTTTCTTATTCATGTTTATCTTGATAAGATCTGTTTTATTTATGTTTGTCCTAGAAAATCAACATTCTTTCAGATTTAAGAAATGTAAATTTGGGGTTTGAGACAACATCTTAGAAATATATTTGTTGAAATGACTAGGAAGTTTGAATTAGATAAATATATGGTTGGTTAATGCAAAGGTGTTGATTCTTTAAATGATACCTTTTCTTAATCAATAATGCTCTGAAATATTACTATAACTTGCTCCATCCTTAATTAAACCTAAAATATTGATAACTAGTTCAAGACAAATTTTTGTTAATTTATTTAATAATATTAACTTGTTTTCAATTATCATATATTTTTCAAAATTACCCTAAAGTACGGTGGAAAAAAGAATAATAGTAAGGAATCTTTAATTTTTAAAACAAAACCCTTGAATTCTCTTATCTTCTCGTAAGGGAGAAAAACAAGATAATTCATCGTATTTATTGTTTATAACTTTATATAATTAAGGTTATTTTAGTCAAAAGTAATTAATGCAAATGATTGATTAGAAAAACGATAAACAAATTTGAATTTTAGGACAATATCTTATAATTAAAGAGTGATGTATGATCGACAACAACTAGTTGTATTTACACAAACTATGTAATTTTATATATTTGAGCCCTCAATAATCAATGATTAAATAAAAATAATCTCGAATATTTAAATTCATCATTGGGTGTTTAAATGCGTAATACTTAATTAGTGAACACCAATCTCATTGCCAATGTTCATGTACTTATGCTCCAAACTAAGTGGAAGTCTATTCAACTAGTTTCCTCCAAGTGGGTCTACAAAAGAATAATAGATCTTGGTGATTTTTTTAGGACAAACTTTACCAAACCTACAAAAGATGCCCACCATATACTAGAAATGACACAATAATTTTTTAATAATTTAATAGGCACGATTTACTATAATACATACTCTATGTACCCACTAGTTCACTCCATTGTAATTGATAAGCAATAATATATGTAGCATGGATGAATATGTGGTGAAAAGGGATTGTTTCGAGTGGAGGTTGATGTCCACGGTTTAATGTTGTATAAATTATTAAGGAATTGAAATGTTTATTCTCACGCTATCGTATCGTTCTTCTTTTATGTTTAGAGATTATTAGGTATTTCGATGTTAAATTCATTATAAATCATTATAAATCAAGTATTTAATGTATATTAAATATAGATTTTGGAGTGAATTTTTATTAGTGACAGTCTAATTACGACTTAATTGATGATAAATATACTTTGTCTTAAATTGATTAATATTAGATATTATATCTCCATAAACTGACCGCTCGACGTGTTGGTCATAGTTACACGGTTACGAGAGTAGCTTGTGGTATGGTTGACTGTCTGGTCCATAGTTGACCAAACGATTATATGGTACACAGGCGCTCTAAGCCCGAGCCTATCGTGATAGGCGAAGGGGTTTGTGATGAAAAGTTGTCTTGGTCATCCAGTCGTCTTCAGAGGTGTTATGGTCTTTCATGATCATTCAATTTTCCCTCGATCGATCAATAACTGATTGTTATGGTTCTTGAGAATATAACCGTTGGAGGAAAGTTATAGCCATTGAGATAGAGACGTGTGACACGTTGATTCGCACGCTCCAAAAGATGAAGAGTTGTGTGTTGCGGATCGTCGAATCTAGTTTGATTCGATGACTAAGGATGACATCTATGATGAAGAAGAAGTGTCATTCATGTACTCTTGACCTCCTCTCCCCTCAGACTTCTAAGACGAAGACACAAAGACAGTTGACATTATTACTTGAAAGGGGTTATATTATTTTTATTTTTTTGCGATTAATGGATATCTTCTAATACAGATAATATGGTACTTGTGCCTAATCTGTTTATAAGCGAGTGTTAAATTATCCCTTACTCCTTACCCACTCGTATTCGTTTAAAGTATTTACTTAATACCTAATAGATTTTATCTATGGATACTCATGACCAATAATATTATTGACATCTCTAATCAAATAATAATAGAAAAAAAATTATACTATTTATTATATATAAAATAAAATAATTGATAAATGCTTATTTTAATAAAAAATAATTAAAGAAAGTGATAACTAGAAAAAAAAAACGATAAACAAATTTGATTTTTTTAGAATAATATCTTATAATAAGGGGGATGAAGTAAAATATACCAACGACTAGTATTTATACAAACTNTATATGGTTGGTTAATGCAAAGGTGTTGATTCTTTAAATGATACCTTTTCTTAATCAATAATGCTCTGAAATATTACTATAACTTGCTCCATCCTTAATTAAACATAAAATAATGATAACTAATTCAAGACAAATTTTTGTTAATTTATTTAATAATATTAACTTGTTTTCAATTATCATATATTTTTCAAAATTACCCTAAAGTACGGTGGAAAAAAGAATAATAGTAAGGAATCTTTAATTTTTAAAACAAAACCCTTGAATTCTCTTATCTTCTCGTAAGGGAGAAAAACAAGATAATTCATCGTATTTATTGTTTATAACTTTATATAATTAAGGTTATTTTAGTCAAAAGTAATTAATGCAAATGATTGATTAGAAAAACGATAAACAAATTTGAATTTTAGGACAATATCTTATAATTAAAGAGTGATGTATGATCGACAACAACTAGTTGTATTTACACAAACTATGTAATTTTATATATTTGAGCCCTCAATAATCAATGATTAAATAAAAATAATCTCGAATATTTAAATTCATCATTGGGTGTTTAAATGCGTAATACTTAATTAGTGAACACCAATCTCATTGCCAATGTTCATGTACTTATGCTCCAAACTAAGTGGAAGTCTATTCAACTAGTTTCCTCCAAGTGGGTCTACAAAAGAATAATAGATCTTGGTGATTTTTTTAGGACAAACTTTACCAAACCTACAAAAGATGCCCACCATATACTAGAAATGACACAATAATTTTTTAATAATTTAATAGGCACGATTTACTATAATACATACTCTATGTACCCACTAGTTCACTCCATTGTAATTGATAAGCAATAATATATGTAGCATGGATGAATATGTGGTGAAAAGGGATTGTTTCGAGTGGAGGTTGATGTCCACGGTTTAATGTTGTATAAATTATTAAGGAATTGAAATGTTTATTCTCACGCTATCGTATCGTTCTTCTTTTATGTTTAGAGATTATTAGGTATTTCGATGTTAAATTCATTATAAATCATTATAAATCAAGTATTTAATGTATATTAAATATAGATTTTGGAGTGAATTTTTATTAGTGACAGTCTAATTACGACTTAATTGATGATAAATATACTTTGTCTTAAATTGATTAATATTAGATATTATATCTCCATAAACTGACCGCTCGACGTGTTGGTCATAGTTACACGGTTACGAGAGTAGCTTGTGGTATGGTTGACTGTCTGGTCCATAGTTGACCAAACGATTATATGGTACACAGGCGCTCTAAGCCCGAGCCTATCGTGATAGGCGAAGGGGTTTGTGATGAAAAGTTGTCTTGGTCATCCAGTCGTCTTCAGAGGTGTTATGGTCTTTCATGATCATTCAATTTTCCCTCGATCGATCAATAACTGATTGTTATGGTTCTTGAGAATATAACCGTTGGAGGAAAGTTATAGCCATTGAGATAGAGACGTGTGACACGTTGATTCGCACGCTCCAAAAGATGAAGAGTTGTGTGTTGCGGATCGTCGAATCTAGTTTGATTCGATGACTAAGGATGACATCTATGATGAAGAAGAAGTGTCATTCATGTACTCTTGACCTCCTCTCCCCTCAGACTTCTAAGACGAAGACACAAAGACAGTTGACATTATTACTTGAAAGGGGTTATATTATTTTTATTTTTTTGCGATTAATGGATATCTTCTAATACAGATAATATGGTACTTGTGCCTAATCTGTTTATAAGCGAGTGTTAAATTATCCCTTACTCCTTACCCACTCGTATTCGTTTAAAGTATTTACTTAATACCTAATAGATTTTATCTATGGATACTCATGACCAATAATATTATTGACATCTCTAATCAAATAATAATAGAAAAAAAATTATACTATTTATTATATATAAAATAAAATAATTGATAAATGCTTATTTTAATAAAAAATAATTAAAGAAAGTGATAACTAGAAAAAAAAAACGATAAACAAATTTGATTTTTTTAGAATAATATCTTATAATAAGGGGGATGAAGTAAAATATACCAACGACTAGTATTTATACAAACTAAATTCCTTGAAATATAATTCTAGATATTTGAGTATGCTATAGCCAATGATTAAATTAACATAATCTTGAATGTATAAATACATTATTGGATATTTAAATGCATATTACTTAATCAGAGAGCACCAATCTCATGGCCTATGTTCATCTACTTATGCTCCAAACTAAATGAACCCTATTTAACACCATCATTTCCCACCATGTGGGTTCACAAGCCCGATTAATGGCTTTTGGTTACTGCACATAATGTTTTCTCGCTACACCCCATAGATGTAATGAAATGACCATTTTATTTTTATTGAAAAAAAAATAAAAATTAAATTATTTTCAGATTTGAAAATATATTTTGAATTATATAATCTGGAATGTATTATATTTTAAAATACATTTTGGATTGTACGAGACAATAATTTTATGAGACAATAATAAGTTTGCTTGTTGGTTTTTGGTGTAGGTACAAAGTTGTATTAATAATTATATTATATATATATAATTATAAATGAACATAAAGAATTTAAATTAATTACTTTTAATTAGTAATTAATAACATACATTTTTATAATTTTTATTATTATTAGTTACATTTACCAAAATAAAGAAAGGGAATCGAGAATCTGCTATAGAAATGATCTAAAAAATTCTTACAAAGAAAGATGGGGAAGAAATTGGTTCTCAATTTCATTCCATCGGCAATTACAAGCTAATAAGTTCACGAGCACATTGAATAAAACGAAAAAGAAAGTCACCGATAAGTGTGACTTAGCATTGTACGAGAAAGTCATTGTTTTAGTATTCCATCCAAAAAGTTTAACCTATTTTAGAGGGAATCTGGTTTTTAAAGACAGACTTCAGCACCATGATGATGGAGCCCATAAGCAGCATTGCGCCAATTGCCCCTCCACAGACAAACATAAGAGCAGGAACTTCGGTTGAACCCAAGGCAACACCATAACCAGACAATGCTTCTGCTAATGCTAAAATGCAATAGATGAAAAGTAGCAGCAGCACTAAAATTGCAGGCACACGAAAAGCAAATGGTCGTGTAAGAATTCTGATCTCTGGATCTCCTTCAATTGCCTTATCTTCTCCCTCAGTATTTATCACTTTAAAGGAAGGATGAGATCCCTTCTTCATCTGCAGATAGTCACTGATTAAAGATATGATATGGTAATTGATAAGTACAGGTGAATCTAATTTCGTGTTACTAATTATAATTATAAAGTACCTTTGACTTTCTTTTCATCTCAGCAGTAGCGTCATCATACTTCTGTACATAAAAGTAATAAATATTAAGTAATTGAGGGATTATGGGATTTCCAAGTTATTTGATTAAAGTTTCTCTTATTACGTGAAACCAAAAACAACAGTACTTGAGATAATAAAGATAGAATTCAATTTCAAATGATAAATTGTTATCAATTGCGTTCTATAATTACTTCAAGTCATGACTTGAGTTATCAACCAAGTAACCTGCTGCTCCATTCAAATAATAAAGATATGGTAATTGATAAGTAAAAATGAATGTAATTTCAATAATGAAGTGTTACTAATTATAAACTACCTTTACCTTTTCATCTGCAAAATCATCATTAAGAGCTTTGTGACGCCCTTTCTGTACATAAAACAATAAATATCAGGTAATCGTGGGTTTATGAAATTTTTTAATTATTTGATTGTTGTTTCTCTTATTACTTTTATAAAATATAGAGATGCAAACAACTTTCTTCTTGAGAGTAAATACAAGAGAGAAAATAATAAAAATTGAATTCAATTTCAATTAAATATTGTTATCAATTGGTTTTACAAATACATCAAGGACCTCTAGTTTAAGGTCATCATATAAATCATCAAACTTCTCCTACATTCAAACAATGAAGATATGATAATTGATAAGTAAAAGTGAATTCAATTTCAATAATGAAGTGTTACTAATTATGAAGTACCTTAGACACATTACTTAGCTCGCCATCATTAGCTTCAAGATTGGGTGGCTGTAAATAAAAGCAATAAATATTAGGTAATTAAGGGATCATGAGATTTTCAACTTTTTTTTATTATAGCAAATATTAATTATTAGTTTTTATTAGTGAGGATCTCTTACTTTCCTTTCAACTTTTACTACTAAACTAATCTTAAGCTCTATGAGATTTTCGAGTTATTTGGTTGGAGTTTCACTTACTACTTTTAAAAGAGATGAAGATGCAAACAACTTTTTTCTTGAAAGTAAAAACAACATAGAAATATATGGTACTCGAGATAATAAAGATAGAATTCAATTTTAATAATAAATTGTTATCAATTGGTTCTACAAGTGTCTCAAACTTTGGTACTGTAACATCCCAAATTCTTACACTTGAAAATTCATAGTTGATATATGTCTATACATGTTTTAGGCTAAGATTTCAACTATAAAACTATAACTAGAGTTCTTCTATCCTTCCCTTCCTTGGCACTGAGTCAGACGACATTCCTTCATCTGCTCCCGTATAAAGAATTATACGATCATCGCACATACCCAAACACAAAACACAAACAAGTAGGGTGAGCTAACATGCAACCAATCATTTATGAAACATGCATATTTACTTTGATGCACTCAACTAACCTCATATAATAATTATGTCAGACACACTCATACCATCATACAACAATCTCATCATAGATATTCATCCATTACTTTGATACACATGGTAAAATGACATCGCAAGACTTGTTACTTTATAAACCGACTCGTCTGGACTAGAATGATTACCGAGCTATGGTGGGTCTTGCACTCGTGGTGGCTTATGAAACTTGGGCTCCCCCACCCTACCACACTCACGAGGTTAGTCCGTTATCACTCACCTTGGACCATACTGGAAGCACCCAAGACTAGGACCTCTTGCTACTCCTCACCACATGGTTCAATCCTCTCTACGTGAGAGACCATTGGAGTTTCAGGATGACACCCAAAACTGAGCTACCATGCAATCATTCTACACACCACCAGGGCACCACCATGTATCCTCTCCTTGAGGATCATGGGAATTACTCCATGAAACCATACGTCACTTTGAACCTTAACCCAAAACATGATAATATAGCCATCAGCTTATCACAGTGACTCCACTATCTCATACATCACATACTTCCCACCCAAACAAAATAATCAAATCATGTTCAGACGCATAAATTCAAATTTCAATATAATAAATACAACCATCACAATTATCATTCATAATTTTTGTAAATGGTCCAAAAACAGAAATTAAGCAATATTGAGATCCCTGAGAAGATACGAAATTAATATCTCTAAATCTATAACTTCGATTTCAAATCTGAACGGTCAAAGTAATTCACTATGTGTTAGAAACTACATATTAAAATTTCCGGTTGATCCACGGTTCAATAATAGTATTGAGGTTTATCGATGTAATCAAGGACAAAATTTTTTTTTTTTTTTTTTTTTTTCAGTGGTTTTCAGTTATACTCAAAATGCAGAATGAATCCCTAACACAGACATCTAATTACAAATCTGAACGGTCAAGATGACTTGATATGTTTTATGAACTACGTACTAAAGTTTGGGCTCAATCTAACGGTAAATGAAATATATCTGAAGTTTTACCATGATAACTTAAGAACAGAAAATTATGGTTCATCAGATTTTTCAAACCTTCAAAATTACTTTCTCAAAACATAGACTTCCAATTACAAATCTGATCGGTCAAAGTGTAGTAATATATCCTAAGAATCATATATCCAATTTTCAGGTTGATCTAATAGTCAAATAGGTCAGAATCTATATTTTACCGAGAGAACTCAGTAACAGAACTAATGGGGTAAGTAATGTTACTCAAACATCAGGATTTATTTCTCCAATTACAGACTTCTAATTACAAATTCGAACGGTCAAAGTCTATAATATATCTTAGAATCATATATCAAATTGAGGTTGATCTAACGGTCAATAGGTCACAATCTATATTTTCCGAGAGGACTCAGTAACCAAATTATAGGGGTAATTAATTTACTCAAACATGCAGGATTTATTTCTCCAAGTAGAGACTTCTAATTGATGATCCGAACGATCAAAGTGAAGAAATTGGTCTTAGGATTCATATATTAAACTTTTAGATAAATCCAATGGTAAAATCAATTAAAAGGAAGGTTTTACCACAGTAATTTGAAAATAAGAAAATTATAATCATGACAACTAAATTGTATACAAGTGAATAGATAACTACCATTACGCAAAATTTTAACATATTCATAACTCATATTCATGATCATAACATTATAAAATCATGTATAAGAAGGTTAGCTCCCCTATCTCTATTCCCAACTTCTCTGCCCAGTCAAATAATAACGATGGTA